CTTGATGAATGAGAATTATGTTTGGTTAAATAAGTTCCACGTTCTGTTGTTTTGCATGTAGATAAGTGGGTCGTCATCGGCCGTACCGAAGATCACTATATCAGTTACTTGCGAAACAAGAATCATTGGTTCACAACCTAGATGGAATTGAACAACCTCAGTTAATTATTGCGTACTCTTAACCCGTAAGATATTAAATAGGCATGTGCACATAATTGTTGTTGCTTTGATTCTTTGGGTGAGATCCAAGCTAGGTCGACATACTTAATGTATTGGGTAATGACATTGTGTGTTCGATGTGCTATTAGGATATTTACGGTCACCATGTGCGTTAGTATGATGATGTCCCCGAAGTGAGTTCATGAAGGAATATTATGCTAAACCCTGCAGGTGGATTTATTCCGACATAATATGAATGCTATGAGCGAGCGCTAGCTTCGGTAATATAATATATTAATTAATTCTTGATTATTAGTGATCGAATTAATTAATGGACATTATATCTTAAACATGGGGAGGTAAATCGAATAATTATAATAAGGAGTCTCAAATGTAATTTGGGATAGGTGAGGGGAGTGCAATAATATTATTGTGGTGGACTTTAATATTATTAATATATTAATTGTGGGGTTGCTCCACAGTATTAATATATTAGAAGCCCTTATCCTATTCTCCTTAGGGTCCCTACTGTAGCTCTATATATACAGCATTAGGCTCTTGGAAGAGAAGAGACAATCCCACATCCTTGGGAATCACGCCGCCTCTCTCTCTCTTTCCAAGGAGTTCTTCTATTTCTTGTGTTCCACTGATACAAGATCTAAAAAGCTGTTTGAGAATACAGTAGAAGATCTTAAGGTATATAGAGATTCCAATCATACATCCAAACCGAAGACCAAAACCAGCAAGTGACCATACTACGACGACCAGGATCACGAGACAAAGAGATCACCGTCGAGATCGCCGCCGGACTCCGCCGCACGCGCCGTCATGCGCCACCGGGAGGTTCCAGCAGCTGAAGCTCAATCGGCGCGCGTGTGAGCGCGTGAGACCTCCGATTTTTGATCGGTCAACGCCGTTGACTTCGCCGTGACGTCAGCTTTCTGGACTGGTCAAGTTTGTTCGATTCCGAGAAGATTTGATTTGCGGTCAACTGTTCGGGCCAGCCAGATCTACATAAATTTTAAGCAGTAAGTTTTCTTCATCAAACCTTTAGATCCGCTGCGCATAGGTTTATGTTGAATGTTTGTCCGTGATTTGTGCATATCGAGATCCTCATGGGTTCCAACAAAGACAATGTCTCTAACAACATCTCCCCCCGCAAACTCAACATCCTCAAACAACCGAGCATTTCCAGACTAAAAAATAGACTTATTTGTGGGATCATAAAACTTATACCCTCTTGATCGTTCAGAATATCCAACAAAATAACAACTAATAGTCCTTGCATCCAGTTTTTTTTCATTAGGCCTATATGGCCTAGCCTCAGCTGGACACCCCCACACGTGCAAATGCTTTAGACTGGGCTTTTTGCCTGTCCAAAGTTCATAAGGGGTCTTATTAGTTGCTTTAGTTGGAACTCTATTAAGGATATACGCTGCAGTCTTTAGTGCTTCACCCCATAGAGATTGTGGCAAGGTAGAGTGACTAATCATACTCCTTACCATATTCTTAAGCGTTCTGTTTCATCTTTCAGCAACACCATTCATAGTGGGCGAACCCGACATAGTGTACTGTGGGACGATACCGCATTCCTCTAGGAATTTAGCAAACGGTCCTGCACGTTGTTAACCTGAACCATCACATCTACCGTAGTATTCACCACCACGATCAGATCTAACAGTTTTAATCCTTTTATTGAGTTGATTCTCAACTTCAGCCTTATAGGATTTGAACACGTCCAATGACTGTGATTTTTCATGAATGAAATATATGAAGCCATATCTTGAATAATCATTGATGAACGTTATAAAATATTGTTGACCATTCCAAGAAACTGTGGGAAATGGCCCACAAATGTTTGTATGTATAAGTTCTAAGACGTCTGAAGTCCTGTTGGCTTCAAATATCCTTTTGTTGGTTTGTTTTCCCTTAATATAGTTGACACAAATGTCAAAATCTGTAAAGTCTAAGGGGTCGAGAATATCGTCGGACACAAGTCTCTCTATTCTCCGTTTGGAGATATGACCTAATTTCTTGTGCCACAACGTAGCTGAATTCTCATCGGTTAATTTTCTTTTCACACCACGTGTATTAAAATGCAGAGATTCATTGAATGAAGCAATAGTATCTAGTAAATAAAGATTATCATAACCTGATAAAGAACCAGAACCAACCAATTTTGAATCATGAAACAAACTGAATTTTCCACTTCCAAATGAACAAGAATAACCGAATTTGTCCAAAACATAAATAGAAATCAAATTTCGTCTAAAAGACGGAACAACAAATGTCTCATCTAGATCCAAATAATATCCAGTCTTTAACAATAATCTAAATATTCCAATTGCTTCAACTACAACTGTCTTGTCGTCACCCACATAGATGTATCTTTCACCATCACTTGGTTTTCGGCAATGGAGGCAACCCTGCATGGACACACTGATGTGAGTTGTGGAACCAGAATCTATCCACCACGTGTGTCCAGGAACCGAAGTCAAATTAACCTCAGAACAAACCAAATTAAACAGCATACCTTTCTTAGCACGCCAAGCGTGGTAGTTGGCACACTGCTTCTTTGTATGCTCTTCAGCCTTACAAAAGAAACAACCTGAAGTGGTGTCAGAATTGACATCATTAGACACACTAGGTGTCAATTGTTGTTTCTTTTGTGGACTGTATGTGCAGCTTCCTTATCCTTATTCCTCTTTTTTCCCTTGCCCTTATTTTTGAAATTATAGGCAATATTAGAGCTTTATGTCTTATCTTACTTCAACCTTTCCTCTTCTTGGACACAGTATGAGATGAGCTCATTCAGAGACCAATTCTCTTTCTGACAGTTATAGCTCACCTTAAACTTGTTAAATTGTCAAGGAAGAGATAACAAAACCAAATGCACTAGCAATCCCTCAGAGAGTTCAAGCTTAAGTGCTCTTAATTTTGAAGCAATATGAGACATCTCCATAATGTATTCTCTATTATTACCTTTACCACCATACCTCATTGAGATAAGATTTGCCAAAAGCGTACCAATTTCAGCTTTTTCGTTCTTGACAAACCTTTTCTCAATATCTACAAGGAATTCCTTAGCAGTAACGATATTTTCAGACATAGTGCCCCTGAATGCTTCCGGAATGGCTTTCTTTATGATCATCATACACATGCGATTCGATTTCTCCCACCTTTCAAAGTCCCTCTTTTCATCCGAAGTACTATTATCCGTAAGAGGGGGTGGGGAATCAGTCCTTATCGCAAGGTCGAGATCCATGACACCGAGAACTATTAAAAGATTCTTTTGCCATGCCTTAAAGTTTGAGCCATTTAGCATAGGAATGGAATTGATGCTGGCAGTGATATTAGCAGAAGTAGACATAGCTGAATCCAAAGAAAAATAAGCTTATCATGCTCACGAAAAATACTTAGAATTAAAATTATAAATTCAAATAAAGGTAACCCCATCTCAAGACATCGTAACTCCATTAATATGTTATCTTTGGACAAAATATTAACTTGTAATTGACATTTTGATGCAGTAATCAAACATTGACAATAAGAACATATCAAACAATAAATCTTCCTTTGGGCCGAGTTATTGTTCATATGTATAATCGAATAATCATCACGTTTATTACCGCAATAACACTAGTAATTCTAATGAGTACTCCCATTCCTTTGGGCCGGTTAATACTCACTCAAATTACATGTACTCATATCCTTTTATATTTCAAAACAAATTAATTTCCATAAAAGAGGTCGCTTTGGCGACATGTTGCTTCAATTAATTTATCTCAAAATATATAAAACTTTATACCAATATTCGAATCCAAAATTTAAAATTCTAAGACCCAGAAAATAGATTTAAGAGCTTAATCTTTATTCACATAGCAGTACCATACAAATAGTATCTGACTTACAAGGTAAAACAATTGAAACAATACTAAATCCTAACCACGAATCCAATTATAAATCCCGTCAAATAAATCAAATTCAACCATTGAATCCAATCATTGCATTTCCAAAGTTTGTGGCAGAGATCAATATATATCCATCCAATTGGCATAAAGCGAATTGCAATGAATTTAAATAATCTGAACATGATCAGTAGTTTATTTAAAAACTGAATAAACTATTCATGCGTATCCGAAAACAACATAATATCGGATTCCACACATTGAAAAACTATCGCAGGATTAAATAATAAATCCAACCTGAATCAATATACGTAATTTGCACAGCAAGCCGTGTGAATCAAAATAGAGCAAAAATTGATTCTCAAGAATTCAACATGAAGATGCTCTGATATCAATTGTTGTAACTAACTTTAGGCGAAATACATCGCTTTAATCCAGGAGCTTTCATATCGAATAATTGAGAATCAAAAAACTGAATAACGGAAGCGTACCTGAATCCATAGGTGATTGATTTGGGGATTTGGCATTCTAGGTCTATACGATCGTGTACCTTTTCAGAGAACCCTTTTGCTTTTCTCCATAACCTCTCTGTCGATGGGATGCAGAAGAGTAACTGATCGATGTCGTATGACCTAAGGACCACAACCCTTTTATGTACATTAAATTACATTGGGCATCTCTATTTTAGCCCATCATTAAAATAAAAGACCAATTAGTTTCTACACATTAAAGGCCCACACCCTATTGATACTTTAAAGCCCAATAACTTTAAACCTTAGTTGATCACTTTTATTTGGGCTTCTTTATTTGACAACCACAATACAATAATTATTTTACATATTAGCCCAATGTTGGATTAAGGATCCAACAAATATGACTTACAAAACAATACAAGGAAAGTACATAATCTGAAACCAAATAAAGTGTTACCAA